TGGAACACAAACCAAAGGGATCTCCTCGATATTAATGTGTTGCAATGCCCCAAGTAAACAATGAAATAACCTGACGTTTATATATTTTTTCTAGCATTTGCCTGTCTCCTATGCCTATAGTATCTGTCTGTTTGTGTAACTGACTGGGAGCACAAGACATCAAGAGAAATGTTTGCTACATCTTTCATGAAATTACCCATAAATACAAGGTAGTATAGGTGATATTGTTAATTGGTAATCTATATAGCCAATCACAGTGGTTGGATCTCACTTGTTAGCTATTGGTTATCTTATTATCTCCACTGATTACCAAAGTCAACTATAAAGAACAAAGTGATGATAAACTACACAAGGACAAAATGTTATTTATAACTGATACAGTAAACACTCTTTAATCATGAAAATGTCAATAAGCATATGGGCAGTTGATAATTGGGGGGGGAAGGGGGCTGTATTCATATATTCATGTTCTGCATTATTGATTTGAAATTGATTATTTTTACGGTCTGTGAACATGAATATATGAATATTTGCCCCTCCCCCCCTCCCCCAATTATCAATTCCCGTACCCCTATGAGAATGTTTGTATAGTGAACTCAACAATGTCATTGACTAAATAAAGTTTTTTAACTAAGTATGGAAAAAGTCAACATATAGAAATCCATCAACTCAAGGCATAACCAGGTTGTGTTAGATGTACTGTATATTTTAGCCATGTACAATTTTACATAGTGCCTATGGCTACGCAACGAAATTTCACCGCTCCTTTTGTTGGTTGCATTTTACATTTGTGTAACTGAAAATATATATTAAACAATTATATATTAAATTACAGTTTAGTTAACATGCTTTATTGACTTAGTGCGACATGCAATTATCATACTTCTGACATCGCATTGGATAATGAGTATTTGAAAAATTTGTTTTTGAATTTTGCCCACAAATTGCATATCAAACTATTATTTATGAAATGTTTCAAAAAGTCAACTAAATTCCAATTAAAATGTTCGATCATTTAGGGCTCTTTAACTTGGATTATACAAAAACCTGGGTGAAATTTCGTCGTTTATAGACATTTTAAATAAGTCGCAATCGGACGTACAGTAAACGGCGTATCTTTGCTGCACCTATCGCAGTCGCAACCTCATACTCAAGTTCTTTCTTACCAGCTCCTCTCTGCTAGAGGAAAGACCCGGCAGTAGTAGTCTGGCAGATAAGAGGAGAAAACTGACCTGAAGTGAAGGTCAGTACTAAGTACATTTCTGTTTGTCCGCTGTGTTGAAATTTCTCGTGGGCTCCAGCTGACACGTTTTTTCTTTGATTTTCCTATTAACTTGTCACTAACATGAAATTTCTTAATGCAAAGAGTTATTTATAGATGTTTTAAACACTAGAACTTTTAAATTGTTAAACTTGCCAGTGCGTTTTTCGGGTGGTTTTCTGTTCCAAATGTGAAAAATAGGGCAAAATCCTTCTTACTAATCTGAAAAGCCGTTTTCAACAACTCGTATAACTCGAGAAGAACTTGAAAAGCTAGATAACCGTTTAAATGTCTATTTTTAAAGCCTGATTTTCATTTGGTCGTAACTGCCGTAAATATGTCGTATTGATGTCGTGGAGATAGTCACAAACTTATCTGTATGACCGTTACTGTCGCAACCAAATTTTAGAACCTAATGATGTAAGTTATTTTTTTCTATAAATGAACTTTTGACAATATAGGAGATACATTTCGAAAATGTAAGAATAAACGTGTCGACAGCAACTCACCAACAGTTAATTACACCGACATACAGAAAAGTACTTATTGACCTTCAGGACTTGCTATGGTTAGTTTTCTATCACTTGTTCCTCTATTTGCATGACTATAGCTGTTTACGCGATCTATCGTAGCCAACCAAATTTTTAATTTAGTAATTTTCAAATAATTTCACTACGTGTGGCTCAATTGTCGTACACACTTGATAGTTGCTACTGTGCTGAGAAGAAAGTCCCTGGTTATTAGGTTGTTACTGTTGCATGCATTTTGCAAGCACTTTTGAAACGCAGAGAACAAAACAATGTTAACAAGATGTTAACTGTTGCAACTTAATCATACAACAGATAAAACTAGGTTTAGAGCATGGTCATGTGTGCTGTATGGGATATAAAGTGTCGAAAATTAGGCAAAAGTCACGAGAGGCCGTACCCGTCTTAGAGAATGGTTGCACCCACGAAGGGATTTATCGTTTGAATGCGTTTCGAATGTATTATAAACAATTTTCAAATGAGATGTTTTCATTTAAACGCACGTAATTTTGGATGTCGATTTTGGTTTCATGAGGATATTTAGTACATGTATACAGGGACGCCGGAACTGGGGAGGCAGGAGGGGCAGCTGACCCTCTTGCCCTTTACCAGGAGGGGAAAGGGGGGCGAAGGTGGCCTTTTAATTAAAAAAAAATTGTTATTAATAGAAAGAATTCGTTCTTGTTATTATAGAACTATATAAACTATATGATATAACAAACTTTTGCTGGAACACTGTAAGAAATGTATGGAAAATAAGTTTATATGATTCCAGAGTTGTTCCAATTTGCCGTTAACGTGCGTATCACCTCATATTTTTCGCAAATACCTCTGAAAAAAAATTTGGCCAAGAAGGAAGGCGAACTTAAAATAACTGTAAAGTGATAACAATATATAAAAAGTAAAATTTATACTTAAAAGAACTTGATTTAAACGAGCCTCTATATAGCTCAAATTTCGTGTACGACAACAGTCATTTTGGGCATTTTTGGCGGAATTCTTTTGTGCCAGAAATGCGGTCATTGAGCTTCAAAAATATCAAAATCTTCTGGGGGAGAACCGTAGATCTCCCTATTTCTTTACAAATCAGAAACGTGATTATGACAGCATTAAATTCCAGATGTTTCGTAAACGTCCTTTAATATATATCAATTCAAAAGTGCCCTTCGAAGAAAGTCTGCCCCCTTTGCCCTCTCGTCGTTCCGGCGTCCCTACATGTATATGCGTAAAGGAAATAATGGTTATATGCCAATCAAATTTGGTATGTTCTCAAAAATGTAATTATTTTTGAACTCACTAGCACGGCCTTTTGTTATTCTGAAAACACGTAAGAGTACTTTAGAGCTCTATACAATCGGATCACAATTGATCTCTGTAACCTAAATTCATTAGATGTTGCATAGGGTAAACTAATGATTCAATGTGGTTTATGGAATATAGGGCTATGAAATGCTTGTATGTGATTCGTTGAGTGGGTGCAATATTCTCTAACAGGTATTAATCTATGTAATAAAGAGAAAATATTCTAGATAAGGGACAAAAGGTCTTTATCTAAAATGTTTTCTTCAGGTTCCCAAGTGTTGTATTTCGCCGAGTAACCTTCCCATTTCACAAGGTACTTTATTTTACCTCCTATGCGTTTTTTTTCGACAATACGTTCCACAGTGAATACCGTCTCAGACTCTTTGGATTCGGTTTTCTTCAACTTGTTCTTTCGAAGAGACTTGCATTTTTTTGATGCGACGCCTTTCCGCTTCAGCTTCCTCTTGTTTGAATTATTTGCAGAATGAGATGTTTGTTGGAAAACCATCTCGGACTCTTCTGTCATATTCGTTTCAAGGACCATCTCCAACTTTTCTGTCATGTTCGTTTCAAGGACCATCTCGGACTCTTCTGTCATGTTCGTTTCAAGAACCATCTCCGAATCTTCTGTCATGTTCGTTTCGAGAACCGGCATCTCGGACTCTTCTGTCATATTCGTTTCAAGGACCATCTCCGACTTTTCTGTCATGTTCGTTTCAAGGACCATCTCGGACTCTTCTGTCATGTTCGTTTCAAGAACCATCTCCGAATCTTCTGTCATGTTCGTTTCGAGAACCGGCATCTCGGACTCTTCTGTCATATTCGTTTCAAGGACCATCTCCGACTTTTCTGTCATGTTCGTTTCAAGGACCATCTCGGACTCTTCTGTCATGTTCGTTTCAAGAACCATCTCCGAATCTTCTGTCATGTTCGTTTCGAGAACCGGCATCTCGGACTCTTCTGTCATATTCGTTTCAAGGACCATCTCCGACTTTTCTGTCATGTTCGTTTCAAGGACCATCTCGGACTCTTCTGTCATGTTCGTTTCAAGAACCATCTCCGAATCTTCTGTCATGTTCGTTTCGAGAACCGGCATCTCGGACTCTTCTGTCATATTCGTTTCAAGGACCATCTCCGACTTTTCTGTCATGTTCGTTTCAAGGACCATCTCGGACTCTTCTGTCATGTTCGTTTCAAGAACCATCTCCGAATCTTCTGTCATGTTCGTTTCGAGAACCGGCATCTCGGACTCTTCTGTCATATTCGTTTCAAGGACCATCTCCGACTTTTCTGTCATGTTCGTTTCAAGGACCATCTCGGACTCTTCTGTCATGTTCGTTTCAAGAACCATCTCCGAATCTTCTGTCATGTTCGTTTCGAGAACCGGCATCTCGGACTCTTCTGTCATGTTCGTTTCAAGGACCATCTCGGACTCTTCTTCTCGTGTTGCCTTCGTTTCGTCGGTAACCATCTGCGACTCCTCTACCGCCTTTGTCGTTTCTGCTGTTGTTTTGAAAGTCTGCGCTTCCTCTAATTCTAACGATGCTGCTGTAGACACTTTTTCTGGAGTCAGTTGGCGGCCGTGATTCTTGAGCTTCTTTACTCTAAGCTTCCGCAGAGACTTCACGTTGTTGACGATTTGATCGGATGACAAGACCATCTCAGACTCTTTGGATTCGGTTTGCCTCAATTTGTTCTTTCGAAGAGACTTGCATTTTTTTGATGCGACGTCTTTCCGCTTCAGTTTTCTCTTGTTTGAATTATTTGCAGAATGAGATGTTTGTTGGAAAACCATCTCGGACTCTTCTGTCATATTCGTTTCAAGGACCATCTCCGACTTTTCTGTCATGTTCGTTTCGAGGACCATCTCGGACTCTTCTGTCATGTTCGTTTCAAGAACCATCTCCGAATCTTCTGTCATGTTCGTTTCAAGGTCCATCTCGGACTCTTCTGTCATGTTCGTTTCGATAACCGGCATCTCGGACTTTTCTGTCATGTTCGTTTCAAGAACCATCTCCGAATCTTCTGTCATCTTCGTTTCAAAGACCGTCTCGGACTCTTCTCGCGTTGCCTTCGTTTCGTCGGTAACCATCTGCGACTCCTCTACCGCCTTTGTCGTTTCTGCCGTTGTTTTGAAAGTCTGTGCTTCCTCAAAATCCAACGATCCTGCTGTAGACACTTTTTCCTGAGGCAGTTGCCGGCCGTGATTCTTCAGTTTCTTTACTCTTTGCTTCCGCAGAGACTTCACGTTGTTGACGATTTGGTCGGATGTCAAAAGGTCTTTATCTAGAATGTTTTCTTCAAGTTCCCAAGTGTTGTATTTCGCCGAGTAACCTTCCCATTTCACAAGGTATTTTATTTTACCTCCTATGCGTTTTTTTTCGACAATACGTTCCACAGTGAATACCGTCTCAGACTCTTTGGATTCGGTTTTCCTCAATTTGTTCTTTCGAAGAGACTTGCATTTTTTTGATGCGACGCCTTTCCGCTTCAGCTTCCTCTTGTTTGAATTATTTGCAGAATGAGATGTTTGTTGGAAAACCATCTCGGACTCTTCTGTCATGTTCGTTTCAAGGACCGTATCGGATTCTTCTGTCGTGTTTGTTTCAAGGACCATCTCGGACTCTTTTTCTCGCGTTGCCTTCGTTTCGTCGGTAACCATCTGCGACTCCTCTACCGCCTTTGTCGTTTCTGCTGTTGTTTTGAAAGTCTGCGCTTCCTCTAATTGTAACGATCCTGCTGTAGACACTTCTGGAATCAGTTGGCGGCCGTGATTCTTAAGTTTCTTTACTCTAAGCTTCCGCAGAGACTTCACTTTGTTGACGATTTGATCCGATGTCAAGTCTCTTAAGCTTTTCCAATTCCTCAAGCGCATTTTTGCAGTCTTTAATTTTAGACTTGCCTTTCCAGCAATTTCGTCTGCAAAAGCCTGGCAAATGTGTTCCTCTTCCTCAGCAGTATAAAGCCTTCTTCTTGAAAAAACATTTTTTCTGTCCGTTTCTTGAAATACTTGCTGGCTAGTTGTAATACTTTCACTTTCGGTTGGTTCACATTCGGATGGTTCACATTCGGACACCTCATCCAGTAGGTCGTTGTATTTTTTGGAGACTTGCAATACTTGCTGTCGAGTCTTACGAACGTTGTAGTGAGTGTCCTGAACCCTTCTGGAGTGGGCCATTGCAGTAGCCAAATTATCTTCTTCACCGGGCATCATCTCTCTTTGAATTGTAACTAGTGCTTTGCGTACTCTAGTAGCATTCAATCTTGGCTGGGACTCGTTTAGCACTCCCGACTTTTGCCATGCGGAGTTGAAAAACGCTGAAATTTGGCTTGATGTTGCAGGCCGGCCTGTCGTGCTAGTGAAAACATATTCATGACATGGTTGCGGCAAAAACTTTTCTCGCATTTCCAGGAATTTCAAGAGCCATTGGAAAGTTTCCTTGTTTACACAGATGTGCTGGGCGCCGTATACATGGGCAGTCTTATGCTTTGGAATGGTTATGGTGTACATGTCGTCGCGGCCGAAGTTTGCACGTTTGATGTCGTCTACAACCATACTTGCAAATGGACCGGAGCGTACACCCGTTCGGACTTGCATTACAGCAGCGATGAAATTTCTGCAGTCACAGAATTGTTGTGGTCCAATAGATTCGTCATTGTGAAGGAGCTCTGATACCACGTCTTTCGCATATTTGGAGTTGAGGAATCCTTGAATTTGCTTCAGAGTTAGCAGGCGTTGCTCTTCAAGAACTTGAAGCTCAGCTGTTCTTTGACCGACCATTTTTCGGAGTGCCTGAAACCATAGTGAAAGCATCTCGACAGTTAGCAGGGCTTCTTGAACTTGCTTTTTTTCCCGCACAACACTTCTAACGACCAGGAATCTTATAAATATGCGAATTGCAAGAAGGTAGCTTTTTATTGTTCCGGGTCTACTTCCTTTCTCGCGCATGCTTCGGTAAAACTGTCGGACAACTGATCTCTTTGTTAGCGTTGTCACGTCAGTGAACGTGCTATCAGACACTTGCCATGCATTTGTTACGATGGACACATAATTTTCCGCAAGAGCTTTATGTTTGCACAAATCAAAGATTAAGTAAGATAAAAATAACGAGAGATGTGGGTTCTTTCGTGTTTTTTTATCCCATTTGACATCTCTTTCAATTTCCAACCCAAGTTGGTGTATTTCGTCTTCGTCACTGAATTCTGATTGGGGTTCGGCTGATATCGTAGCGGCCTTGGCTGCTACCACTGCTAGGGTTGAGGTCATGGCTGATGTGGATTTCGTAGCGGCCGTGGATGTTGCCATTGGTAGGGCTGAGGGCTTGGCTGATGTGGATGTCATAGCGGCCGTGGATGTTGCCATTGGTAGGGCTGAGGTCTTAGCTGATGTGGATGTCATAGCGGCCTTGGCTGTTGCCATTGGTAGGGCTAAGGTATTGGCTGATGTAGAAGTCATAGCGGCCGTGGATGTTGCCATTGGTAGGACTGAGGGCTTGGCTGATGTGGATGTCGTGGTATCCGTGTTCTGCATGATCTGTCCTGTCCTTGCTTTGTCTATTTCGAGCTGAATGCTCTGCAGCCAATCTTCGGGTTTGATGTACTCTTTACAAAACGTCTGATATTGTGAAAATGACAGAGTGTCTGCGTGTTTATCCCGTAGATGGTGATCCATTCTTACAACTGCTTGATTGCAATTTTCCCTAGGACAAATTTTCAATTTGGCGTACGTTTTGGGATCAAATATGATTTTCCAATTCTTCGCAATGGTGCTACTTAAATTATGCGGTTTCCGTTGTAGATGACGGGATATTTTGACTGTGTATATACCACACAATTTACAAAGAATTTTTCTATCTTTTTTCGGGCGGTTTCCTATAATTAAGAAAATAAGATAACGGTTAATGGAGAAAAACAGGCTAATAAACTTCATTAATAACTAAACGAATATTATTAAGTTTAATAGGAAAAATAAAAATTGCTTGTCTAACAGAACATCGTCCTCTTTTTTATAGTGTTCTCTGGTGCATGGTTTTGATGACTTCATTGTGATTATTTCATTGTAATTTTAACGAGAGTGAATGACATGGTGGTGAATATTTGACATACTGTAACGGAGTTAACAGAAAAGAAATTTATTTGTAACATTTTCATAAAAACAAAATTAATGGTAATGTTATATAGTTCTCTGATTGTTGCGGTGCATTGTGGACTGCAGTGACTGAAGTTATATAGTCAATTTTATAATGTTTAACCCAGTGTGTCCCAAAAACCCAAAACTATTGATATAACGTAGTGTTAGAATTTGAATGGCCTCGCACTCAGCTGAATGCAAATGATGCGTAAAATATTGGCAGGGTGCATATATTGAATATTGACTAATGAAAGGGGTAAAATCATGCGAAAATCATGACTGACATTACTGAAGAGTAATACCGAAATAAGTAAGAACAACGTCCTCGCCCAGTCAATAACTCATCACGTTCCCGAGATATTCGAATTAATAAAAAATACAAATGAGATGCCTAGTGTCATCATCTACTGTATCTACTCTACAATTTTCCGAAAAGGTGGAATATCTTTGGTAATTGTTGGTGAATTGAACTGAAACTCTCAGGTAGTACGTATAAGAATGGTACTTTTGTATACGCGCAGTTATTACTGGAAATATTGCTTGATACAGCTAGTAAGCTGGTTTAATTCATATTGAGTGGATGACGTCAGAAAACTTGAATATCTCGGGAACATGATGAGATATTGACTAAGCGAGAACGCTGTTCTTACTTATCTTAAAAGCACTTTAACGTAAAATCAAAAGAAAATAATTTTTTTTGGGGGGGGGGGGGTTACTGCCCCTTTAAGAAATTAAAATATCTTTGTTAAGCTCACGATTTTCTGCCATTGGGAATTTAAAGCAGCTTTGTTAAATTTAAACGAGCAACTTTTAAACGCTTCTTTATACATAAAATTTTCTTATGTCAAGTTTTTATGCACTCGTAGGTTCAGCGGATTGCTGAGGCATTCAAATTCTAACAATACGTTATTTCAATAGTTTTGGGGACATGTAGATTGCAGTGGTGATGTCCTATGTTTATATTTCGATGCGCCAATTTTAGCACGAATAATAAATGTAGCTCGGCAAAGGTTCGTAATCTTACAAAATCGAATTTTTCGTACTTCTTCCAATTAGACTACCATGCTGATTGAATGGTTCAATTTAAAATGGTTGGTTTAAAATCCACTTTGAGCAAATACATTATATAGCTTACATCATCGGAAAGCGTAGCCGATTTCTTGTTATTCTATGTCCAAACTTGGAAAATTTGCGCAAAATGCCGCTTTCTTTCAAAACGCCGTTTTATTGGGGTCAGCACGTAGCCATAAGAACGTGTTCTATGATTGGTTGATTATAGTAAGACAATAAGCTACCGGAATAGATTTTCTTAAGAACGAATCACGACACCCCCCAGCTCTTTGTTTAAGAACCAATCACAGACCTCGTTTCCCATCGCTACTTCCTTACTGTAATGATGTATTGAAATTGCGCTTGGTGTGAACATGGTGGCACATTACAATACGTTCCTCCATTTACTTATTGAATCATGAGAGGCAAGATAGTCTGGTATTATACCATTAGTATTTTTAAATAAAAAAAATTTGTTCCACCGTCGTTCCATGTTCCACCGTCGTAACCATAATAATCGTATTAGCTGTTACCATTTGTCAATGATGAGTATATTTTTAAATTTTTATTTATGCTAATTTTGTAATAGTTCAAGTCGAAGGGAATGCGATAGTTGCCCTTCAACAAGTAGTGTATGTAAGTGTGGTTTACTCATGAAATAAACCTACTTGTAGAAATAACAATGCTCATTAAAAATCAGTTAGACTTTAGCAGATCACGTGACCAGCGTCTTTGGTCAGATTTAACTCCCAATACCAACACCACCACTTTTTAGTTCACTAAACGTATTTGGCTGGTTCACTTTCCAATAATGGTAGCGGTAGTAGCAGTGGAAGTTAAATCTGAACCTCGGTGGTAAATACTCTTTCTACGAAGTTGAAAACTCCTCTCGTAAACGTCTAGTAGAAACGTCTTGTAAGTTGTTCAGCATCATGCATCAAGCGAGAAACACTGGTTATGGAAAACAATGTACAGCTTAGCAAAACAAACTGAAGAAGTTTGTTGTTTTTTATCATACGGAAGGCTTAAAGAATTCATCACACCTTTGAGGTTTTCCTAATTGTTTTTATGATGAACATTTGATATCAAGTGAAATAGTGGACAAAATATTCGACTCGTCGTGTCGTGTCTCCGAGTCTCGACTCGACTAGTCGCGTGTCGGGTTCGACTCTTCAAATGTCGGTTTCGACTAGTCGAGTATCCCATTTCGACTCGTCGTGTCGACGGCGTCGACTCGTCGTGTCTCGACGCCTCAACTGTTGACGCGCCGAGTCGGGTCTAGCCTTTGCTTCGACTCGTCGTGTCCCTCCTCGAGTCGTGTTGATTTTGACCGCGGGTTCGACTCGTCGACTTTTAGCGTATTGTAAAATGGATGAAGAATTTAAAGTGGAAGCACTCACATTTTCCCGCGCTTATTCCCTGAAATGAAATACTGAAATCTCGAGGTCTGAATTCGTATAGATATTACTTTCTCTTTAATCGTTGTCTTTCTAGTTCTAAACAAAAATGGACCTTAAAAAAGATTTTAAGGGCATCATTAAGCACTGTTGAAGAAATAACATCGACAAATACATCTAAAAGAATCGAAACATCGCCAATAACTTGGCCAACTGGCTCAAGAGTAGAAAGAAGTTACTGACACTGGTAGTTAGTACGCCGCGAAGAACACAGTCTTTGCTAACATCGCCAACTCTACCAGCTGCTTGGCCTAGCCAACAGGCAAAGCAGCTGGTAGAGTTGGCGATGTTAGCAAAGACTGTTCTTCGTGGTGTACGTAATGCAATGGCGATGTTCTGGTTTCTGGTGTACTGTAACAGTAACTTCTGAGCCGGTTGGC